TGTGATTGAAAACTTGTGTTCGGTTTTGAAGAGAGAAGTCAAACTGATTGCGGACGCTGGTTGAGTTCTTTATCAGTGCCACCCACCGACTGAAAACCAACTACATGGATTGATGGTTAACAGCCTCATCTGCCTCGTTCATTATAAACCTGCTTCGTTACCTACGCGGTAGTGTATGTCGGCATCTAACATATCACTTTTGATGAGACCTGTACATATTATTCACAAAACTAATTAATCAGGCTGACATTCCAACTACAATACATTTGTATCAGTAGATTATTATTCTGAATCGGGAGTGAGTAAGTTGTTTATTTGCTCTCACTAATCTTGTCTACTCACGAGCAAAGTTACACGACAATGGAAAATCTGTTTATTACCTCAAATAGCAAACCATAGGTTTATTGAGCTTATCACTTTCCGAACGAATCATGACTACCACATACAACAAACTTTCTCATGGAGTTCAGAACTCATATTTCTACATTCACCTGCTTCTGTCCCATCGGCTCTTTGCGGTTCATTTAATTTCATTATGACTATACGGACTGGTGTTCCAGACAAATGGAAGGACGTTCAACTTGAAGCCGGTTGTCATGGCCACACCAGACGATTTAGTTTCACCATTCTGAAGACCAAAGTGTATAAACAATTGTGACTCATACACACGTGGGCAAATTAAACCAACCGTGCTCATTCTATCTCCGCCTACGCCTTCGTTAGTTGTCCAACAACTCAGCACTTTAAAAGAGGGTGGTTCAGACGGATCGAACTGGTTAAAATGCCCAACAAACGGAACCACATCCGCGCAAATTTTCCCTTTCTGACTCCAATAGGTGAGGACTTCTTCATAAGTTGTAAGCTAACAATCACTCCTCCATGATCACTTTCCTTTGTGACATTTACTTAGACTAGTGAGTTTCTATTGTGTAATTGTAATTGTAATTGTAATGGTACAAACTCATAATAGCAATTAATATTATCTTTTGTTGTTGCTTATATTTTTATCAAATTGCATCGCTCATTCACATTCAACATTCCACTCACCACCCGAAAAACCTAAAGGCACTTGCGGCGTATTTATTTCGTTTAACTTATTACGGAAATCAGTAGGATTTCGAACTCCGTCAATCCGATGCGCTGACCTGTCGGGATTACGCAACAGGAGTTTGACTAATTGTTCCAATTATTCATACTACTGTTAATTGTCCACGCATCCAACGAACGCAGCCGACCTTTGAATCATCTACTGATGGTACTTCCTTTAAGCATTCCAAACAAATGTTATTAGTTGGTACACTTTTTTTCTATCCCTGGTTGTCTTGAACCATCGAGAATATATATATATATATATATATATATATATATATATATGTGTGTGTGTG